GACATGTATAATAAAATCATGTACATGACAAAATATGCATAAAATATAGATTTATTTTTATCAGAATAACTACATACCACTTTTTTAAAATCCCGAAAAAGAATAAAGTGTTCTGTAGTTCATAATTAAGTATTTGTAAATATGGATTTATGGATACCCTGTACATAGCTACATGTGTTTAGGAATGGTGTTTACAGGGAACATATTCTCTTGAGCTGTTGAGAGATATTGTCATTAAAACAGATGCTGTTCTTTTTGTTCTGTGTCCATTGTCTATATTATGAATGTCATAAATACCATAAATCCAAAGATAGACAGAGAAAATCAAATAAAGTCAATGTGCTCAGTAAGTTCCACTTCTGCCATGGACTCGTTTGTCAAACTCATTATTGCCTCACTGGTCATATCCTTCTGTAGCATGTGCTCACTGCTTACATACACTCTAAGAGGGCTGAGTCATACAAGAATACCCCAAGACCAATAATGTGGATCATACCTGAAATTGAATATCACACAAAAGTAACAAATTGCATGTATCACTATGATATAAAAGAAATATGAATGCAGTTACTTCATTCAAGCATAACATTATCCAAATTTATAGTTACATAGTATTGGAATTCAAATCATGGTGTTAAAATTGTAATCAGGACCAAATTATGAAGGCCTATGTGTAGTTTTCTTTTTGAATTGGGCAAGAAGGTTATCATTACTTAATTAGATGCAAACATTTTACTTATAATCTTATTTTGATAATAAAAATGATGAGTTAATCCCATACAGCAAAACCTGTATATCTGAACACCTGGCTGATCCAAATACCTTCAATTGCTAACACAATTTCTGGCTCCATTTTTCCTCCCATTGCCTTGACTCCCATGTTAAAAGCCTTAAAATCTGACAACATCCTAATTCGAACAGTGGACACTCATATTTGAAAATTTAACATGTGTTAATTGAACACTTTCCACAATTTTTACAAAACTGTTCAAATATTTTAAATTTAAGACTGATTTGATATGAAATTCTGAAAAATATGAAATGGCCTCAGATTTTGGATGCCATGAAGCCAAATGGTCAATAGAAATATTAATATTCATTGAGAATGCGTTAAAATCCACAATCTTGCGGATAGAGAAACCGAAATCAATACTTCTCCCCATCCGAATGCTTTCTGACCATTCTCAATGATGTTCAGATTGGACAGATTTTACTGTATATTACTTGTTCTCTTACCTCTTACATTCTGTACCTCTAGCTAATTTTGTATAATGTCAAATGACTGTTAGTCAGGTGTAACGTACATCCACTGAAGCCAACTTTCTGGGCACCCAAGACATCTTTGGAGACAAGGCCTGCAGAACATAAATTAATATGTTGTAAATTTACATATCTACAGGGTGGGCCAATAACAATTAGAAAAAATTTCCATTTCTTCAATTTTCTTTATTATTGCAGCTCAATCAACAAAAATTCAGATAACTGTAAAATGATTACTGGTGAACATGTTAAATTTAAAAATGTGTATGTATTTATTTTTGGCTTGTCAATTGATCATGATCTGTATTCTACATGCAGACATGTGTCATGACGAATTTCAAATTTTCTCAGCTTGAGCCATCACTGCTGAAATCATCTTTTTAACATACAATATGTGCCCTGCAAATGGTCTCACAACACTTTTCATCAATTAAAACATATGTTGTTATCTCTAGAAGTTAACCATCTCTCCCTTGGATAATATAGCTTACTGACCTCAGCTTTTTTTCAAAACTGGCATAATATGTCTCAGACTGATTGTTCAGGTGGATAAAGAGGATGTGTTCAGGAAATCCTTGAAGTGAGTAATCAAAGCTTGAGCTTGTATATTCAATAATTATATTTACACAATATTGACAATGAATTATTTTTTCAATTTCCTAAAGTATTGAAGATAATACATGACTAAAAGTTACAATGGATTTTTTGGCCCACCTTGTATATAATCTATGTATTACAAAAACAACTAGACTTGAAGTTATTTTAGTACCAGCTGGAAAGATCACTTGATACCATACATCAAAGTATCCATGCCATTTTGATACTTATTGCATCTTTCTGTTTAGCCAGAAACATGATATTTTGAGGCATATTTTGATCTGGGCTCAATCGGATGGGAATTGAGTTACACCTGTCAAAAAGTGTCATGATTATCATATAATGATTGCCTTAATGTCTATTCATTTATTGTATTCTGTAGTCATTGCCTACACAGGCAAAGGTGATATAACATCTATCTATATGACTTGAACAATATATTACATGTCATTTATACAATTACCTGTACTCAAAAACTTCCAGGTCATTTGACTGGACAAGTATGTATGGCCTATGTCGACAATGACGTGACAGTCATCTAAAGGATCTAACTGCATTGCATGATCATTTATCATTAATCATAATAACTTCCTTAACCTCCCAATCATTTTGACGCAACTGTTAGTGGTCCATAAAACCGTTGTTTGTTGTTTTGGGTAACTTGTCATCTGAAATACATGAAAAAGTTTGAAAGTATATTAAGAATATAATGAAACTTGAGACGTCATTTGATGTTCTATATCTAATATCGATACAGTAAATATATAAATGTACAGTTTCAACTATACTGCAGTACAGCACATGTACAGTAGGCCTACGTGTAGCATGTTTATCCGTACCCTAGTTCAACGCCGGGGCCATAAGACATGCCAGATAAGAAACCAGGCCCCAGGCTATATATGGGTCAAATATTTATTGATGATAACTGCATGTGATTGCCATGTACAGATGTACTCCCGCACAGGACACTTTTAATACATGTACACGAAACATGTACATGTAATTTTCCATTACAAAATTATCTTTTTGCCCACATCAAAATGTACTTTTACTGTGATAGGCAGTCAAATATAGTTAACATTTCATTTAAGATTTCCCGACTCTGCCCGCATGGGAGGTCTCTGGGACATGAAAACCTGTTGAGTTTGAACATGGGCTTTGTAAGATCAAGGTCATGACGAATCGATCACCCAAAATAAATTCATATGTAATTTTAAGAAGAATTTCAGTGATTATATGAATACGATCACAGCATAATCCATTGTATTTATATATAACACTACCATCTACTATTAGCATACCAAATTATTACATTAAATACTAAATTTCAAGGGAATTTATGAGAATTTTCAAATCAATATTAGACTACGCAAATGACAATTCCCGATCGAGAACCAGGAAGCGATTTCTACCTTTAAATATGGTGATTTTGATCGATTACAAAAGGAAAATGATATTGAATTCGATACTTCTTACCTTCATAAACAGTTGTTATGATGTTTAATGCTACGATTCTCCACTGTTTGCCCGATTGAGACTGAAATCGTCCCGTCATCAGAGCATCTTGTTTCTAGGTGGGCGATAATTGGTGAGGAGTTTCAGAGACGTTCAAAAATTACGACAATAGAGTGTCTTATTTTCCCGTGCAACTAATTCTCTCACCACAAATTAATATTATAAAGCCATTTTCATTCATTTTGAACATAAGTTTTATTTATTTGAGTAATATACATTAAAATAACAAAATCACGGCATTGAAACCGAAACCGAAAGTTAGATGCGCGAGAATGATGCGCACTCGTCCATCGGCTTTAGGAAACCACCCTCTTAAATGTGAACACTGTCTTAAATGTGAACACTGTCTTAAACATGATTATCTTCTTAAATGTGAACACTGTCTAAAATGTGAACTCTGTCTTAAATGTGAACACTGTCTTAAAAATGTGAACACCTGCTTATCTGAAGTGTTTGACGAGATCCTTTAACTGAAAAAAAACCTAAATGATTTACCCATGTACTATATATTAATATCTGTATACTCTCTAGGCTCCCTCATGTAAATATTATATCTATTCGTTTGTGGTTAAAAATAATATCACTCATTAATCATTGGATATCCTATATTATGTATTAATCACAAATATAGAAATGATGAAAACTAATAAGATAAGAACATTAGAAGGAATAGTCAAGCTTCCCTGTTTTGCCTTATCATGTTGAAGCATGTAACCAGTGGCTAGATGTAATATTATGACTTTCCCACCCAAATAGTGTATCATTATAAATGGGAAACTTCTACCACTGTCCATTATATTCAGAAAAGGAATCTGCTTTTCATGAATTACAAGTTATCATTTTTGTCTTGGTAAAGCTTCAAAAGATTATTTTTATTTCATCTTATACTGGTCATCATGAGGAAAGTGAAAACCAACTTTTTATAGAGGCTCTGTCGTAAATCAAGTGTAAAGCGAACATAGACAAGCTTGGCAACATTATTAAACTAAAGGAGATTACGTTGATATCTAAATTGCTTTAATATGAAACAACCATTGCATTGGTTATTAAAGCCTACTAGAAAGGATGCATTGATCTGAAGTTTTTGTGCGATTATTTGCTACATGGAGTTTTACTTAATATTAGTTCACACTGATCTAGACAATTATCACACTGAATGATTTGGAAACATACACCTCCGTTATCATCTTTCTAATAATCACAGTTGGGATACTGAAAATTAGATTAGGATCATATGAAATCATGGAACAGACAGGTGATTTTGACTCATACAGGCTGTTAGATTGACTAGGTGTCCTTACATAAATCCATCATTAACAGCCACATGTACAGTTTTATATTTTCATTTCATGTTATATTTATTCATAGTCTATAAAAATTACAATTTTAAATGAGCTGCCAATCGCTTCTTAGCATGTACAGTAAAACTTGTCTTACCTAAATACCATTTAGACTGGCCAGAAGTGTTCAATTGGCAGGTGATTCCATTTCAGATTTAAAGTTTGGGACAAAAAGTGTTCACATTGAGAGGTGTTTTGATTAGAGAGGTGTTTGTATATATACAGGTTTTACTTATTACAGTATGAAAAAATATAATCAGCCATTTTTTTTATTTTTTGTGCTTTCAGCACCGTGGCCCTGGGTCTGAGTTAACCCTCTCAGAACTTCAAGACATGGCCTCCCGGCAACAGCAGCAAATAGAACAGCAACAGCAGATGCTGCTCGCTAAAGAACAGCGTCTAAAGTTCCTTAAACAGCAAGAAACGAGGCAGCAGCAATTAACTGCAGAGAATGAACGTCTACGGCAACTCCGGGAGAAGGTGGAGGCGCAAGAGTTGAAGCTGAAGAAACTGAGAGCCATGAGAGGGCAGGTGGATGCATTTAAGAACAACAACACAACACTAGGTACATTATAATCATGTTATGTTCCATGTCTTGAAATTGTCTTCAATATTAATCAAAATTCATAATATTCACAAATCTGGACATCAAGTATATGTATTATTGTGTTCAATAGTGAAATGTGCATGTAATTGTCACGCTAAAATATGTAGAAATGACAGAAAATCATAAAAATGCATGGAGAAAGCCTCATGGGCATATCTCATCCATTATTCGAAAGAACATCAATGCATATTTTCACTGGTAATACAAGCATATTCCAATAGCACATTCAGGTTCAATCAGAGTGGACACATTCTCATACTTGATTCTACTTTATTTAAAAGTGAACACATTCTCATACTTGATTCTACTTTATTTAAAAGTGAACACATTCTCATACTTGATTCTACTTTATTTAAAAGTGAACACATTCTCATACTTGATTCTACTTTATTTAAAAGTGAACACATTCTCATACTTGATTCTACTTTATTTAAAAGTGAACACATTCTCATACTTGATTCTACTTTATTTAAAAGTGAACACATTCTCATACCTGATTCTACTTTATTTAAAAGTGAACACATTCTCATACTTGATTCTACTTTATTTAAAAGTGAACACATTCTCATACCTGATTCTACTTTATTTAAAAGTGAACACATTCTCATACTTGATTCTACTTTATTTAAAAGTGAACACATTCTCATACTTGATTCTACTTTATTTAAAAGTGAACACATTCTCATACCTGATTCTACTTTATTTAAAAGTGAACACATTCTCATACTTGATTCTACTTTATTTAAAAGTGAACACATTCTCATACCTGATTCTACTTTATTTAAAAGTGAACACATTCTCATACTTGATTCTACTTTATTTAAAAGTGAACACATTCTCATACTTGATTCTACTTTATTTAAAAGTGAACACATTCTCATACTTGATTCTACTTTATTTAAAAGTGAACACATTCTCATACCTGATTCTACTTTATTTAAAAGTGAACACATTCTCATACTTGATTCTACTTTATTTAAAAGTGAACACATTCTCATACCTGATTCTACTTTATTTAAAAGTGAACACATTCTCATACTTGATTCTACTTTATTTAAAAGTGAACACATTCTCATACTTGATTCTACTTTATTTAACAACTATAGGTACAGAGTTGGACAGTGTTAAGAAGATGTTTAATGAAAAGGAGAAAGAGCTGGCCGTTGCTGTCGCTAAAGTAGAACAGCTTACAAACCAGTTAGAACAGCTTCATACCAGTTATGTAAAGGGAGTCACCCCTCCAGAGACTAAGACCTCAGAAATTGAGAAGCTTCGTCAAGAGTTAATGGTTTGTATTGACATCTTGCCTACTTGTTTTGATAGAGAATGCATTTATAATTATGTCACCAGCACAATTGGTGGTGTATTGTTGTAGTCTCCAATTCTTTTGTGGAATGTGATCGGTGGTAGGTGTTCTGAGTTTGATGTTTGTAACAAATGGCAGGTAGTGACATTTTGCATGTAATGCCTTGTTAAATATATGTTTTTTGATGGAAACAATTAATTGAATGTACTTTATTTATCATTTCTATAGGGAGGGGGTGGGGTGAAGTTTCGTCACAAAATTATAGATGTGTTATCTTTGACTTGTTATAGCGTTTTATGTACAAAGGGAATCATAGATATATCAATGGAGATAACCTTTTTTTAAACAATAAATAATTTGATATGATTCATACAAAAACATCATGTCATGGTGACATATTCAAGTATGTACACTTTTTCTATTGTAATACATTGAATGGACTGTTGTTAGATGTGTTGCAATATAAAATACATACTTGGTTCATACATTGAAGTTCCAAATTTGATTTTATCTAACTGTCCTATTTTTATTATTTTAGATGAGAAACAAACTGAATGAAGATCAAAACAAGAAACTCACTGCCAATACTGGGGTCATCAACTCAAAGAAATCGGAGATGAGTTTCTTGGATAAAAAGATAAAAGAACTTCAAGAGAGACTGCGCAAAAAGCGGTCACAAATTTCGGAAAAACCAAAATGGAATGTTGCAGCTGTGGAACCTTATATAAAACGTGCCCCTGAGAATCTCACAAAGGACGATATGTATTCAGTTGACAACCTTAAAGCAGGTTTTGGAAAAGAAAATCCAAAATATCAAACTTTGCCCTATAATACAAAGTTCCCTGATGCTGGTAAAGCAGAAGATGACTTGAAATACGGGGACAAGATGTTTATTAATGGTGGCAGTGGCGAGACTAGAACTGAAGTTCCGAATATAAATGAACCAAGCAAGAAAATTCCAATCACCCTGGCAACATCAATGCTTTCCGCAGCAGGTCAGCCAAGTCAATCTCAAGCCAAACCCATCACTGCTGAACTTGTTAAGGGAACATGGCCCTCTCGCCCAGGAGCTAATATTCGTAACTTCGGCCCCAAGCCCTATGGGCAATCATATGGTGTATCAATGATTCCAGGTGCCCCTCTGGCACCTGTGAGGCTTCAGGCAGACGGGCAGTCAGAATCAAGTGGACAGAGTTCTCCCGTCACCAGCGATCACGGTCCAACCACGGAGACAACCAGCCCCCTACAACATAAACAAATAAATCAGGTAAGTTATATTTTGATGTATACTTAAAACTACATATGTGTATGTAAATATTTGGAGATTTAAACAAGAATGGCAGGATTGGAATTAAAAACTTATGTGTTAAAATAATTTCATGAATACAATATGAAAATAATGATGATTCATAAAAATCACATTTGATAAAAATTGTACTTGGAACTGATGACTTAATATTTGGAGATGATAATGATAAAGTATTTTAACAGCATATTGATGATTTCAATTTTAATAGTAAAGATTATATGGTTTATTATTCTGTTTCAGGTTGCCCCTTCCAAAGAAGTCCAATATCCACCCTCACAACCCCCTAAGGAAAACACCCAATCTCAGTGGGCCACTCCTGAAAAAGGCAAAGAACGAACCCCTCCTCCTCCTCTTGCTACCTCTATAGCTAAATACTCTACCCCTATCAAGAAAACGGCCCCTGCAAGTGTATATGGACAATTTAAAGTGACTGATTCCCCGAAGGTTTCTGTTGTGGAGCGACAAACTGTCGAACCTATTCAAGCAACTCAACCGGTAGTTGTAAGTACACATCAACCTGAGCAGCCGAAATTGACGGAACCGACAGTGACGTTAAAATCCTTGGGTAATGTCAGTTCAGGATCTGGTGTAACGACAACTGTACAAGGTGGAGGAGAAGAGAAAAAGAATGTGAAGTCTGTTGAAGGAGCACTCAATGTATTAATGACTGGAAAACCAGCCACAGTGGCTACAGCACAGCCGTATAAATATGCCCCTAAAAGTATAGCTAATCCATATCTTAACAGGCTAGGCTCTGGGGCTATGGACCGATACAAGCAAAATATGAAAAATATATATGAGCCCAAGCAACAAGAGAAACAACCAGAGACACAAACTGAGGTAAAAATACAGACTGAGAGCCCAACAGCTAAAGTTCATCCATTAAATGTAAATAGGCCCATATCACCTGTTAAAACTACATACGGTCAGAAGGCTTCCCATACACCAATTCCAATACAAACCATGGATAATAGGCCCCTGAGTCGACCAATGTCTCCCAACAGGGCAAATAATCAGAATATTGAAGTAAATCGCAATATTGGTCCCCCTTCGTATACCTACGCTGAGCAGTTACGCAATCAATCCACCACAGATTCTAATGCCAATTTTGATAGTACGCCATCTATCATTCACACCAATAATACACTAATGCCATTTGATACACCAAAGACAAGTACTCCTCTTACTACATTATCAAGTCAGAATTCCCAGAATCAACCAAACACTGTGCAATATACACCTAGCGCTCCTAAGCCAACACGACGTCAGATTCCTGTTGATAACGTCTCCATGGCAACCACTCCTTCTCCAACATCCCCCTCCCAGCAAACAGAACCTCCAGGCAGTAATGCGGATTATTTATCAACTTCACAGACATTTGTAAATTCGAACCTCGATAAAAACATGCGTCGACAATTGTTCCTGTATGGAACAGCTACACTACCACAATCTCCAGATTCGCAATCTGAACAACAACAAACGAGCCCCACGAATTATCAAACAAGCCCGACCAATCGCCAACCTTCCCCACAAAGGACATCACCAACGAGACCTCTATCTCCCAAGAAACCACATTCAGAGCCAGCTGCAAAGGTTAATATGCGTAAAAAGACCAATTTAAGGAATAAAGATTCAGTGAAGAAATCACGACGTGTTAGTTTCGATCCACTGGCTCTGCTACTGGACGCATCTTTAGAGGGAGAGCTTGAATTGGTCATGAGGACAGCCAAAGAGGTAAGCCTACTCTTTTGGAAATGTTATTATCATCTCAATGAAAAAGTGGAATGGATTTTTCTCAATTGAGGAAATAATTAGCTACAAGTATTTTGACTAAGAAATTAGTTCAAAATAGTCTATTCTCAACATAGTGTAGATCAATTTTTGAGACTCGTGTATATGATAATTTCACAAATCATTGTCTAGGTGCTGAATGCTACAAAGGTTGAATAATTTGAACAGATGATAAACAAGAAACTAATGATTTAGCTAATGGACCACTTTATTCTAATTTAGGTTTCCAACCCAAGTGCAGCCAATGATGAGGGTATTACAGCGCTACATAATGCTATATGTGCGGGACATCTAGACATTGTCAAGTTCCTAATAGAGTTTGGTTGTGACTCTAATTCACAGGACAGTGATGGATGGTAAGTTTGATGCAAAATGTGGAAATATTTAGATCATGAAGTGGTTGAACTGATCCTGAGAATGTGGTCTTCACAGCAGGGTTTCACCACTCATGAACCAAGGTTGTTATCGCACTTTGAAAAAGTGCTATATTGTCGTCGTCTTGTGCTGTTGGGCGGGCGTGCGGTTGTGCGGGCGTGCGGGCGGCACATAAACCAAATCTTGTCATTAAATTTCCAGGATAACTGCTTACCTGTTCAACTTGAAATTTTTACAGATGCAAGAGCAGACTAGTACCAAGATCTGATTAGGTTTAGGGCATGCTGGGTAAACTACGTGGCGGCCATTTTGAATTTTTCAACAAATCTTGTCATCAAAATTCCAGGAAAACCACTTATCCGTTCAACTTGAAATTTTTACAGATGCAAGAGCAGACTATTGTCAAGATCTGATTAGGTTTTGGGTATGCTGGCTGAATTACATGGTGGCCATTTTGAATTTTTCAATTTGGCGGCCATTTTGAATTTTTTAACTTGCTCCAAATTGACCAAATTTTTTTTTAAAAAACATCTACAAGTTCTCAGAAGTTCAAATCTGACCTTAGATTTCAGATTTGACCTTTCATCCACCTTCAGTGACCTTGAAAAGGTCAAAAAAGTTGATTTTCTAAATTGATATTTTGGATTTAAATTTAGGTCAGCTTAATTACAAAACACCTACTGAGGTCTGAAAAAGTGAAATTTTCAAGTTTGAAGGTCAAGGTCATTAAACTAGGTCACAAATGATGTTATCCAAGTTTCTCAAAGTTTGAGACTACAAATCAATTCTTGTCATCAAAATTCCAAGAAAACCGCTAACCTGTTCAACTTGAAATTTTTACACATGCAATAGCAAACTAGTGCCAAGATCTGATTAGGTTTAGGGAATGCTGGGTAAACTATGTGGCGGCCATTTTGAATTTTTTAACAAATCTTGTCATCAAAATTCCAGGAAAACCACTTATCCGTTCAACTTGAAATTTTTACAGATGCAAGAGCAGACTATTGCCAAGATCTGATTAGGTTTTGGGTATGCTGGCAGAATAACATGGTGGCCATTTTGAATTTTTCAATTTGGCGGCCATTTTGAAATTTTCAACTTGCTCCAAATTGACCAAAATTTTTTTTTTAAAAACATCTACAAGTTCTCAGAAGTTCAAATCTGACCTTAGATTTCAGATTGGACCTTTCGTTGACCTTCAGTGACCTTTGAAAGGTCAAAAATTTGATTTTCTAAATTGATATTTTGGATTTAAATTTAGGTCAGCTTAATTACAAACCATCTACTGAGGTCTGAAAAAGTGAAATTTTCAAGGTCGAAGGTCATCAAATAAGGTCTCAAACAATGTTATCTAAATTTTCCCAAAGTTCAAGACTACAAATAAATTCTTGTCATCAAAATTGCAGGAAAACCGCTAATCTTGTCAACTTGAAATGTTTACAGATGCAAGAGCAGACTAGTGCCAAGGTCTGATTAGGTTTTGGCCATGCTGGGTAAATTGCATGGTGGCCACTTTGCTCTTCAAAGTGCGATATTTATCACTGTGTGTCTTGTTTTTTGTTCAATAAGAGTTCGATTTAGTCGTCATTAAACGTTGTTTGTTCAGTTAGATTCAAGAATCATTAAGCAAGGTTGTTTGTTCAATCATAGATCATTGAACACCATTGTTTGTTCAATAAGAAAATTTGTTTGCTTGTTAGAAAATGAATTGCTATATTCATTGAGAGCTTTATATAATTCCAGGACACCATTGCATTGTGCCGCCTCATGTAACAACCTCCCTATGGTGAAGTTCCTTGTTTTCTATGTTTATATATTCATTGAATGTTTTATATAATTCCAGGACGCCATTGCATTGTGCCGCCTCATGTAACAACCTCCCTATGGTGAAGTTCCTTGTTTTCTATGTTTATATATTCATTGAATGTTTTATATAATTCCAGGACACCATTGCATTGTGCCGCCTCATGTAACAACCTCCCTATGGTGAAGTTCCTGGTTGAGCATGGTGCCTGCATCTTCGCTACAACCATAAGTGATTCGGAGACTGCAGCTGAGAAGTGTGAGGAAGATGAAGATGGATATGATGGATGTTCAGAGTTCCTTTATAGTAAGTTATCATTGTTATGCTGGTGACGTTCTCGCTATACTTACCAAGTAGTTAGTTACCAATTTTACCAATCATTGTTATGCTGGTGACGTTCTCGCTATACTTACCTAGTAGTTAGTTACCAGTTTGACCACCAGGTGGCAAACTCGGAGCAGAAATACAGAAGTTCCCCTAAACTTTTTAAAATCAGTTATGTATCTGTTGATTCCAAGTTAGCAGCTTTTCTTTTCTGAATTCTTCTATTTAAAGCTTCATCTTTTACCCCTCGATTCCTCTTAAAAGCTCATATTTAGCATTGTTATTTCTATAGTTAGTCACAAAATGTCTATAGGAATATTTTCAATGTTGATTTCTCCAAATATATTTGTTAAGTTGGATATGTGTGTAAAGCCACGAAATAATTTCAAATTCAATCTTATTAAATCTTTCAGGTATACAGGAAAAATTAGGAATCCTAAATGGTGGGGTTGTGTATACGCTATACCAATACAAAGCACAGAACCCAGATGAGCTCAGCTTTAATCCAGGTTACAGGATGGTGGTCCTACGCAAGGGGGATGAAAAGGAAAAAGATTGGTGGTGGGTCAGGCATGAGGATAAAGAGGGCTATGTTGCTAGAAACCTACTTGGGGTGAGTCATTGGCGACTAAATCATGTGAAATTCATATATAATCTGATCACAGCATTTATTAAATTGTGCTTCTCGTGAAAAAGAAGTGATAAACGTAAAAATGTAAGATTCACATCTAAAATTCAAGGAAAATATTTAGAAAATAGGTTTTAACTCATTTTTTATTGCAATTTCAGTTGTATCCCAGAGTGAGGCCAAAGTTTCCAGCACCTGATAGTCAAGCCTAGAGGGAGCTGATAGTCAAGCCTAGAGGGAGCAAATGTATAATAATAAATATACGCACACTCATATGTACAGAACACCAGCATAAAGTACAGGGCCAGATAACTTGTCATTGAGGATCATGTACATGTACATCACAATCATAATGCATCAAACGTGAGAAGCATTCTGTTAAGTGTCAGGTTTGAGCTGGTACCTCTGGAGTACATATTAGTGCCCCAAGATAATCCATCACTTTACACGAAAAACACGAAGACCTCGTACAATATGATTGCTGTGTGTATATACCAAGGGATCAAATACGTAAACTAAGATTTTTAAGTATCTAAGCATTATACAGTGCATGTATATTATACCTGAAGGATCACCAGAAGATTATGTTCACCTATAGAGGATTATTGATCATCTATGGAGGATTATTGTTCACCTATAGAGGATTATTGATCATCTATGGAGGATTATTGTTCACCTATATAAGATTATTGATCATCTATGGAGGATTATTGTTCACCTATATAAGATTACTAAGATTTTCGACATCTAAAAAGTCACTCGACTTTTTGTGATTATGAGTCAAAGAAAGCATTCTTGAGTTTCAAATTGACTTCTGTGGTAACTTGAAACCAACTTCTAATTTAGTCCACTTACCTTTTATTGTTTCTCCAAATATATTCTTTGAAAATCGGATTTTAAGGGTGTTAATCAGGGCAATTCTGTGCCATTTTAATCAAAAATCTTGTTGCTACCTAGAAACGAGCAATTGTGATCTTGTTGTTACCTAGGAACGAGCAACTGTGATGTCACGTCACACTCATGTTAATTCTGGAATCACTTGGCAGCCATTTTGGAAATTTCAAAAAAGTTCCCAATTAAAAAGGCTAAATGCTGTTTACAAATTGGAAACTATGGCAGAATCAACAAAGGGTTTGTGAAATAATTAGGATATGGTTTCAAAATTATGCACATGACAATATATGACTACTAAATGCAGGCAGGGGCTTTTAATTGCCAAAAAGTGTCAAAAAGCATTGGTATCTACCTTAAGCATTATGAAGATTACATGATTATGAGCATCTGGGGCTTTATGTACACCATGTGTGTACCACTGTTCCACCTGCGGATTTACACAAATGCACAAGGAGGATTGGCAGCCATTATTCAAACTCGATACTCCGTTGTCAGCAGTTGAAAAACTTAATAAAAATATTTCTATAAGGTTCTCTTTGGACTAAGTATTTCATTGAAAGATGGTCATTACAAATATTTTAGTAGTATTCAAGCTTCCTCAGCAGTTCTAGTCTTCAAAATATAAGTACATGGTAATATTGTTACCAAATTGGTCTACGCTGACTCGCCGAGCAATGGAGTATCGAGTTTGAATAACGGCTTCCAATCCTCCTTGCAAGGGTTTTGTAAAGTATTACAAATGCAAATAATGTAAATGCACAATATTCAACTCACAAATATCACCTGAACAAATTATATCGTATTTCACTTGAATCATTTATAAAGATATCTATGTTAATTGTGTACTAATATAAAGCACGTAAATACTGGTGACACTACTGTTATATAATCTGAACAAAATATTAGGGTTAATAGTACAAAGAAAATGCATACTGGCTAAGACACAATGGGTTATTTTGGTGATGTGGCAAGTCATTGTGGCATCACATGGCCTTATTAAATATTGAATACAGTATTTTGAAAGATGACTTGATATTTCTTATATCACAAGAATGAAAAGTAAAATGTATTAAGTTGAAAAAATACATCCACTCTAAAAGTTTGGTAACACAGTTAATGTGTTAATTTGGCAATTTTTAAAATGTCATCAAATTTGTCAGAAATTTTGATTTAATGTTATTGATGAAAATCTTTGTTTTCAAACTTTTGGAGGGGAGTGTACATGTCATATGTTATAGTACAATGTTGGTTGTATATGTGGCCATACTCAACTTGACCCAGTGTCAGTAGGATTACATTGGTGCCAAATACAGTATAGAACTTTGTAGTAAAATCGATTAAATGCAAACATGTACCACAAAGACGATGTGAATAACATAATATTGTTCAAATTAGAAGTGGTACATAGCTCAACATTTTGACAAGTAGCAAAAGGTTGCTACCTGACAGATGTAGCAAATTGCTATGTTCTTAAAACAAACAGCTAAATTATGTACCGAGATGAAATGCTACTGACTAACAATACTGGTTAATACTAAACCTTTGGGCATTTGTTCTGAAGAACTGAAGGTGTTACTGTATCATTCAATAATTGAGCTTAATCACAATAAAAAGGTGATCTAGTAACACAAAATTTGATTAAAATGGAGGAAGAAGCAATAACTATGGAAAGGACCATTAAAGTGTCCTATTAAGGTGTATGTTTTGCAAGGAATTGAAGAAATATGAACAAATATGTGTAAGAAGATATTTCTTTGGACTGGGCTGAATTGTTTGGTTTTAGTTGTTGAGTTGAAGGAATCATTTAGTTTTAGAAACAGATTGTTTGAAATATTGAGCAACACCCAGAAATGCACAAAAATGATGGTTTAACTTCATAATACATAAAATATACAAGTTAAAATATATAAGTTCTACAAATGGGGCACTTAATTTGTCCGAGAAAGTCTAAATCACCATGACCTGAATGCAAAGGACAGGGTAGTTCTTGTTATTATAACCATCCTATATTATATATATTTATTGCCAAAAACTGATATTATTAGTATTGTAGAAAATAGTTTATTATGTGAAATTATGTGTTCATTGATGAATCATGTTCATTGAACTTAAAGGTAGGTCATGTCTGTAAAAAAGTATATCACCAGTTGATCCATTCTACTTTAAGAGGGTACTCAACTTATTTCTATTCTTGTCCATTTTAGTTCCACTATACGTACTGCAATAGCCTAAATCTTTACTATTTCACAAGTTGGACTCAATCGGTATGTTTAGTCCTGTATATAAACCAGAAAAACAATTGGGATTTTGTCAAGAGAGCTGCCTCTTCCACTTTGTATGCAGGACTATTAAGCAAATATTAAAAATCAGGATATTTTCAAGAATTAGGCTTTAACAGTGTGTTCTTAACTGAGTGCAATATCAATTGAACATTCACCAGGGTTTCATTAGTTAGGTACACTAATACAAGGTGGCCCGAAAGATTTGTAAAAGGATTCTGTTTGACTATACATGTACTTCTATTATACATGGTTGTAGGAGATTTTGACTGATAAGCCTGTTTTATCCATTCTATCCATAATGCAATGTGGATATTAGAAATAATAGGGACATTATCCAATGATCAGCAGTTGTTGAATAACAAAGTTCGTTTAGTTATGATGGGAGGGGGTAAATGATGGTTTCATTTGTGATATTGTTATTATATTGTTAATGAAGCTGGTTTCATTGGGGGAGGGGGTAAATGATGGTTTCATTTGCGATCTTGTTATTATATTGTTAATGAAGCTGGTTTCATTGGGGAGGGGGTAAATGATGGTTTCATTAGCGAATAATGTTGGTTTTTTAATATTCAAGTGAAAGACAAATAACGAAATCAACTCTGTTTTTTCACGACTGTTGAAAATTGGACACCATCCTTATAGTTTTGAGTTGATATTTGTAAAATACAGAAATATATTCACATGATCACTTATTAATTATAATTACTATTAATTATATTGATTTAACATGAAATCTGTTGCAATCAAAGGGTTAATAGAAAATAAATGAAATATAATAAAACATATGAGTAAATATTATGTTATTATTTATTCATTGTTAAATAGGACATTCAATGATGCAAGCATACACATTGTCAATAACGTGAACATGAGAAAATGATTACTTATATTACGTTAATTGTTCATGAATAAATTATGTAAGCTTGTTTCTTTATCCGGTCTAGAATTTTAAACAAGCATAAAGAGACCCATTTCAAATCTCTGAAATTAGTCACACACTTAGACCACATTTGATGATGTATGAAGAACATTTAATTTGACATGGGCTAAAAAGAACTGAAAATATGACTGTATATGCTCCATTTTTCTTCAAGTCACCTTTTTGATTAACCCCTTTCTTGGTCCATAGTGTGCTTCCTCAAATCCAGTTTAGTCCCTATTGTGCTGTCTTGTTCTCTCATCAGCTACATTGTTCTATGTTGTGCTGTCTTACTCTGTTGTGCTACATTGTTATTTGTAGTGCTACCTCAGCCCAGTGTCAACTAACATACTCTCCATTAATAAACTAGCACTATCAGGTATATATGGCTGATGCAGCCAGGAAGATGTGTACAACATGATCAGTCCCTTCTGTTTAGCATGAGCAATATATTGAGCTATAGTGTCTTTCAATTCAATCTCCTTAGAGTAGTAACCCAGCAATTCAGTGCTCTTTTCACCTGGAAAAATATATGGAAGACATTAATTGTTACAATTTACAAATCACATGTATTGAACGTTTTTATCTCACTTTGAATACAATGGGACCAATGAACCAATAGACAGATGGACAGACGGCTTCTCTATATCCCTATAAAGAACTTCAGAGGAACGATGAGCTCTGTACTGGACCCCAGTTAGTGTTCACTTGAGATAGGCAATGTTTAGAATATCTGTGGAAACACAATCACAATGTATATTCTATCAAGATATCCTTCAATCAGTCATGCAAGTGTTTTTTAACCAACACAGTACTATACCGTAAAAATACGTACTGAACTGCACAGACGTGAGTGTCTGAAAAAGAGGCTCCACTGGTATGCCACTCTGCCGACTTGTGTATTCCTCTAACTCAGAGACACCAATAAATTGCTGTGTCAAACCAGACATCTTCTTCACGACACCTTTCTGCAAAAATAACAAAGTTTCATAAAGGCCATTTTTCCAGTGTGTACAGTGTACCCTACGCTATTTCAAAAAATAATCTAATTTTAGACATTTTCAATAAAATCTTAATATTGTCTTTCATGTTCACATTCATATATGCCTTAAAACTGCAAACGACTTTTTTCTACTCACCATAGAGTTAATGTATATTTATGTAATAAATGAATTTTAATGTAAGCGACATCTTTTATATAACTTATTTGTAATTGCAATTTGCGCATGCGTTTCTCTAGTTCATATTGTACGTGTAGCAAGGATAGGAGTGGACAGCTTTTATCGAACAGAGTTTAGAACTTTTACATAAAAATGGAAGAAACTATTACAGAAGACTCAAATCCTGGAAAGAGGTGTACTAAGTGTAGAAATCTAATTAGAGGGCATATAGGACCTTATGGAATTAAATGCACGATGGATATTGTGAAAGACGAACCGCTGGCAAAACCGGTTTATAGTGCCACGCCCGGTGCTGGAAGCAGTGAAACGCCCGATTGGCAAATCGCCATTAGGGAACTAAGTAAACAAATGGCTGGCCTAGTTTCAATAACCACGGATATTAAACACGAACAATGCTCGATGAAAGATCATATTTCTCAAATAAATAGGGATCTTGACGATTTAAAATCTGGAGCAAAACGACAAACAAGCACAGCAGACACGTCCGGGACTGTTCAACAAGCCGTTAAAACTGCAAACGACTTTTTTCTACTCACCATAGAGTTAACTACTGTCTCCAATTTGAGACAAAGCTCTTGAAGTTCAGCCCCATCTGGTGGTGGAACAGACAACTGACCTCCATCAGCTCCCTCTTTTGCCTCATATCTGAATGAAAACAAGAAAATATAAATTTATAATTTTTGATATAAATGAAACTCACATCTAGAAGTATCGCTCATCAACCTCAACTTTGCTTTTAGATAAATATGACAGTAAAAAACAAAAAAACAACAAATAAACAAACAAACAAATGAAAGGACAATGACTCACATAACTGCCAGTCTCCTGTTTGCAATATCATTAACAATGGCCAATCCCTGGTCGTTGAGTTTATTCCATTTGTCAATGAGATTGTGCCAGTTAGCAGCACCATCTTTGATGATCCTGGGATTTCCTGTAAGGTTCCCTTGGCGTGCCGGACCAACATCCCTCACTGAAACATCAAAAATAATTATACATACATATTTTTATCTTTAACATTTTCACAAATAATCATTTTACCATTTATCTTATCATATTATTATTAGCTTTTGTGAATTGAACTGCAATAATAAAGACAATTGAATAAATAGAAAAATGTTCCAATGTTTTATTGGCCCACCCTGTATATATTGATCGGCCAAAATGAGACTGCTAAAACACACCCCTTTGTCTCATTGTAACGGGATTTATATGTCTTTACGATGGAACAAATTCACAAGAACTCGTGTATTTGAAAAAACTAAACTCAGTACCCCGGTAAGAAACTGGATATTATATCTCTGTAGAATGAAAAATGGGAAAATTTGGGAGTCGTGAGAATAAATTCAAGTAACATGTCTTATCATGTCTTATATATACCTTATCCCCCCTCCATCCAATCCCACCCCCCCCCCTCCAGCCAATATTAATTTCTTTTGATTATTATTTGTATGCATGTAAACTAACTTTAAAAAGTGAGCAATGTCATTAGTATTGTGATAATAACGTCCATTATACCTATTTATTACAGGTCGTGTAGACCATTGTTGCCCGATTTATAGCAAAAACATTGCCTTTTGCACATTGGTGATGATGCACCTTTTTTAATAGATCTCATATCTTAGAAGGGTATCAGTTCGAAAAACTTGAAATACTAGATGGCCTAACATATTTTGCCATGCACTGCGCCTATTCATTTGGCAATTCAGTTGTAAATTTTCTCTAGAAAAAATAAATCTTCCAAATTTGTTGAGTTTTCTTGCGGATATCGCCTAATCCCCCCCTCCATCCATTTTGTACGATCACCGGGCATGTAAATAAGAAGGCGAGGTCTCCACTCATTTGGAGCTTCTCTTGAGGTGACATACTTTTACTTATAAGTGGTAATTAAGCGCTTCCTAAGGACCAATGAATTACCACACACATAATTAGCATTAGTATATCACACATAATGGACTGCTCACTTTTGTAAGATAGACAGAACTACAAAAAATGATTTAGATCTGCACTTCTAACCCATTCAATTTACGTAACAATAATGAGGTATTAAATCAACAATTCAAATTGTCTTCTGAAGTATTTGTTCAGAAACATGTACATTTTCTTGAGCATATACTGGTGATCCACTCGATTACGCTGGTTACCAAAACGAACCGTTTTGGTAACAAAATGTCGGAACGTCGAAGGCACGATTTTTCTTTTTTCCTTATTTCACGCGTTGTAGGTGGAATCCCCACGACGTTTTTTCTCACAACGTGCATCAGTATCATATGTTTTAGAAAATGTACATGTTTGCGAAAAAATAGCTCAGAGGACAACAGAATCGTCGATTTACTTCCTCACTTAAGTTACATAAACGGTTTTTCGAAAAACAGTTAAGATCTGCACTTTTAACCCAAACCGTTTATGTAACTTAAGTGAGGAAGTAAATCGACGATTCTGTTGTCTTCTGAACTATTTGTTCGCAAATATGTACAATTTCTTAAACATATAATACTATTACACGTTTGTGTTTAAAAATGTCGTGGGAATTCTGCCTACAACGTGTAAAATAAGGAAACGAGAACATCGTACCTTCCGGATGTTCCGACATTTTGTTACCAAAACGGTTCGTTTTGGTAACCAGCGTAATCGAGTGGATCACCAGTACACGTTTTGTGATTAAAATGTCATGGGGATTCTGCCTACAACAAGTGAAATACTAGGGAAACAAGACATACAGTGAACAGAATCGCACCCAAGAATAAAATACAGTTTTCAGGATGGATAATTCAAAATGGCCAATGGCCGCCCTAACATTTACCCAGAAACCTGTAGACAAACCTTGACAGACAAGATTTTAGGATGGAAAATCAAAATTGGCCACTTTAACATTTACCAAGAAACATCTCTGGAAATTTCAGACGAATCCATGAAACGGTTTGGCTCAAAACCTGTAGACAAGCCTCGCAAACATGATTTTAGGACGGAAAATCTAAAATAGCTGCCTAACCCCCTATCACACCAAACTAGTTACCCGTTCTTGCCAGTCCTACGAAAATGTCGTAAAACGGCAATCTGGCTGTGGTCGGGAAATATGTCTAAAATAATTAGCTACTTCGTTCATAAACAGTCTTCAATACGTCCATCTCATTCGCAGTTCGTTCAGGTCGCACCACGTTGGTGTGCAACGTCGCATATGCATCCATTAGTCCAGAAGGTCATCATGACCTGATTACAGAACAACATGGTTGCCATCGAATTTTGAATCGATTCAAAATTCTAAATCACATTCCCCGTCTGGGAAGATCCATGAAGTTCTTAAACAGACCATAGAACATTGAAGCCACGTTCATTCCGTTCGCACATAGTTTAAAACCAGTTTTGAAGAACGTAGTTGCAGCTTGCTTGGTGTCAATCTAGAGGACCTACCTGTTCGAGTATGTTCTATGAAGTTTGTAAATAGACCCCGACCGGTTCTAAGTACGTCCAGTCCGTTCGTACACAGTTGAAGCCCGTTTTCGATAACGTAGTGAGAACTAGTTTGGTGTGATAGTAGGGTTAACATTTACCCAGAATGCAAAAAACTAATAATCAGTTCTAAACGTTCATAGATAGAAACATCCCTAAAGATTTCAAATGAATCCCTGAGACAGTTTGGCTGGAAACGTAGACAAGCCTGGTCAGACAAGATATTAGAAAGAAAAATTCAAAATGGTTGCCTTAACATTAACCCAGAATGCCGATAAACTGATCATAGAAACATCCCGGAAAATTTCAAATGAATCCCTGAAACAGTTTGGCTGGAAACCTGTAGACTAGCCTCGACAGACAAGATTTTAGGACGGAAAATCCAAAAATGGCCACCTTAGCATTTACCTAGAATGCCCAAAATCAAATCAGTTCTAAACTTTTGTAGGTTGAAACATCCCTGAAAATTTCAGATGAATCCCTAAAACACTTTGTCAGGAAACACCCAAGGGTGCGATAAAAAGAACTAGACAACAGCAACGCCAAAGCGTAGCAAATCCCATCGAACAGCCATGGCTGGCATTTTTACAAACAAAGTATATAGCAAAAATGGCAGCCATTTTTCAAAATGACCGGTTATAATGAAAACACGCGCTACGCGCTAACGCGCCACGCGCCAATGCGCTAATAGAAAATGATCCTTCCCCCACGATGTGTGCGCATGTTTTAAGCGCATGTTTATGATTGGTCTATACCCTTGGCCCAGGGACATGTATAATTAGGGTTATGACTCCCTGGGAACTTGTCAAAACATTGACACTTCAAAGACTGTATAAATCACCGCTAACCTGTCAATCAGACTTTGATGTGAACTTTGCGGCCGCAGGAAATAAACAAAGCCTCTCGAAAATTACACTTTTCAAGTTACGATTTCTTTAAAAATATAAGACCAATTAAGATGTTCTTCACACCGTTAAAAAACAGAATTCAACTTCAATTTAGGAAATAATTCCAAAACTAAATGAACGTGTACTTTTCTCTGTATTTGACCTGAAAGAACATGAGTAACTTAGAATTAATAAATATTTACGGCCAATTACCGGACAATGATAAAACATGCTGGTCGGGTTTACATTACTTTTTAAATCGTCTCTTATTTAAAACTTTAATTCCAAATGAAATACAACCCTGTTTTCAACAATATTCCTGGTAAAATAGGTAATACAATTCACTGGGACTGACGTAATTCAAAACTTTTTAAATCTAAAATCAAATTGAGAAAAACGAAAGCAAACATGAAAGGGGGGTTCATAGGGGTCTTGGAAATCCATAGTACACAGCCCCGAAGCCAGGGGGGTTCGGAGGGTGACTTTGGAATTTTTGAAAAAGTGACCCCCCCCCCTGGGAAATCCTGGTTACTGTCCTGGCATATGGCATATAGAGACTACTATGTATATAGAGATCTGGATTACCCCCATAAATGTGGGACTGATTTTTCAAATCACCCCCACAACCAGGCCCGTAGCCAGAGGGGGAGCTGGGGGAGCGGAGCTCCCCCTCTGGCCAGAGATTCTTTCAAAATCATGCAGTTTTTCACCATTCTGAGAATTTTTTTCATGATTATTAGCCAAAATTGTGAAAAAGCTTCCCCTGCCTGGAAAAAAGCTGGCTACGGGCAAGCCCCCGCAACTACTTGTGTATTGAAATCCCAAATTTATGGGGATAAGCTGGATCTGCAGTATTCGTTCAAACTGCCTTAAATTTCATAATAGGCTTCTTTAATTCTTTTAAAACATATGTCTATTTAACTTATACGATGCCATATACGATAAATGTTGCCCCCTCTTATGCGGCCATACACAATAGATTTTCACCCTCCTCTTATACGATAACCCTATACACCCCCCCCCCCCCCATGAAAGCGAAAGAGAGTAACCGGGCACGAAAAGAAAAATGGAAAAATATAAATGCGATGCCTGAATTATCCCACCGTTTGGTAAGTCATGTGAGATATAACTTCAAATACAAAGAGTAAAGATATATAAAACATCCATGACTTGATATTAAGAGGTAACACGAGGTAACATGCGACAAATAAACATTATATTAAGTCATTAGTCAAGTAGTCGGGCCCCCGGCTCAGATTTCGAAACGGGATTTTTCTCGCCGATGGATGGACCCAAATAATGCAATGAAATAGGGAGCATATTCGCATATCTGCGACCATTCATCTTGTAAGGTGCTACTTTCTATCTTCCTTTTAAATCAGATAAAACACACTGACAATCGATAATCTGCACAGTTAACGATCAAACATTGGGCTTCTTCATACTTCTGCTTTCTGATGAGCCACCTAATCTCTTCACTCACTCGATGTTTATACATCATGTTCCCGGGCCTGTGGGAACGATCATTCTGAACAGTGCGTTAGTGCGCTAGCGCGTTAGCGCGTAGCGCGTGTTTTCATTATAACCAAAATGACCACCTTCTACCACAAGTGTCATTAGACAGTGTGCCATGTTT